GTTAGGCTCGGAGGCACATGCCTCAACCAACCGTGCGCAAGTTGATTCGGGCTATATATTGGTGCTGCAAACATTTTATTCAGTAGACCTCTTGACCAACGAGTGTTTTTTCTCAGAATATGCAGTTTACCCAAAAGGAAATGCTTCGAAACTAGCGCGATGCTTGAGACTCTACTCTGCCGCCGAGCTCATCGCCTCCAAAACTCCAGCTCCGGAGAACCGGATTGATCAAATCTGTTCCTTATTGGCACGGGATTACGGATTTCAAAAAGTGTTTTGTTTGGGCCGAGATATAAGTATTCAGTTCGGGGTCTAGACTTTCATGAACTTTCTTCTCGACCTAACTTGTCAGAGAAATGTTCAGTTCTCCTCTTGGGGTCAGGTCCTCAGAGCCGCGCAATTAATGAAGCCTAAGGTTAAGGTTGAGCTTAGGCTCAGGCTTAGGCTTATGCTTACACACTGGCTAAGCCTAAACCCATGATTGGGCCTAGGCTCAGTCCTAAGCTTGTTTTGAGCAAATAAGTGGTGTGCCAATTTTAGGTGATCTGACCTGAGGAGGATAATTGCAACGGACTCCTACACCACTAACGCCCGCCTAAGCGAAAATAGGTGGAAAACCTAGCGCACTGAGTTACCTATATTACGCCTGAAGAAAATTTCAGAAAAATACTGCGTTCACTGCGTTCAATAATGATACAGCCACCTAAAATTTGTTCGAAAACTTAAAGTTCATAGAGTTTCTGAAAAACTGTCCAGATAGAAAATGTGACAAATTTCATGGCGAGTTCAGATATCAACACAAAAATCCATGTCGAAAACACTAAAAAATTTTGTGCTTATTTTTTCAGAAGAGGTCGATTTTCCTATGTTCAAAAATGATACAGCCACCCCGTGTTTCTTCGTTGAAATTCATTTTTGCTTCATGAAACTGATTCGCAGTTATCAGGCTTTCACCTTAATGTTCCCACAAGATAAAAAGACAGTTTAGTTTTGAAAAAAGGTAAACTGTAGCAAAAAAGGACCAGGAATCGTCAAGCAGTCATATTGCGCAAAATTGAGTCAAAGCTCCAATACGGTTAACAATCTTTTCTGGAATCCTGTAGGTTATGGAACAACGAAGAGCTCTGGATGTTCATCATTGCTTTTTGGTCAAGTTAAACTTCGCATTTTGGGGAAACATTTCAATTTCATCGAACAGTGCCCGGAATTCCAGTCTTCTTTCAAAATTAAACTTTCAATGGATATTGTTTGGGATGTGTTGAAGATTTCCGAGGTCATTCTTCAATGGAGAATTAAAGAAACCTTGTTTGTGAAAAGAAATTCTCTCGAAAACTGAGACATTTTTTGCTCGAAAGTGTAGCCACGTCCACTGGAGCAAGATCAGTTCTTTTGTCTGTTATGCCTTACTTTCTGTCTGCGTTTCTCTCAATGTTTTTCGCTTCATAGGAGTCTAATGAAAGGAAAAACCCTTAATGAGGAAGGAAAAACTCGAAAGAAAGTAGCAGAAAGTAAGACTTAAAGGCAAAGGTCGGGATTAGTTGACCAAACCAACCCTTTCGGTCATGCCTGTACTTGGTTACGCACCCGTAGAGATGTTCCCACACTCAAAATCCCGAAACGGCGCAGTAATAAGGCCCCAGGGCATGTACTATGCGCTATCGCCGCCTGGCCCGCTACGACCGCCCACCTCGGGATGTGGTGCATGGCGGCATAACGTGAAATCAGCTAGGTTGATTGCCGTATCAACCGATAGAACGACTGATATCTTCAGAAAACTTGTTTGTACGTGCCTCTTCCCCAAGCCAGCCTCCTTCACTGCTAGTGGGAAAGAGGGTTTTGTTAACGGCCTTGTCGACGGTTTTTCTCAGTTTTTTCTCCACTGTCGTTCCACTTCGCATCTCTATACTCAGTTTCAATCGCCATAATACCCCCTTATTGAGCCCGACTTTTGCCTTTAAAGCACAAAGAGCGGATCTTGCTCCAGTGGACGTGGCTACACTTTCGAGCAAAAAATGTCTCAGTTTTCGAGAGAATTTCTTTTCACAAACAAGGTTTCTTTAATTCTCCATTGAAGAATGACCTCGGAAATTCTTCAACACATCCCAAACAATATCCATTGAAAGTTTAATTCTGAAAGAAGACTGGAATTCCGGGCACTGTTCGATGAAATTGAAATGTTTCCCCAAAATGCGAAGTTTAAATTGACCAAAAAGCAATGATGAACATCCAGAGCTCTTCGTTGTTCCATAACCTACAGGATTCCAGAAAAGATTGTTAACCGTATTGGAGCTTTGACTCAATTTTTGCGCAATATGACTGCTTGACGATTCCTGGTCCTTTTTTGCTACAGTTTACCTTTTTTTCAAAACTAAACTGTCTTTTTTATCTTGTGGGAACATTAAGGTGAAAGCCTGATAACTGCGAATCAGTTTCATGAAGCAAAAATGAATTTCAACGAAGAAACACGGGGTGGCTGTATCATTTTTGAACATAGGAAAATCGACCTCTTCTGAAAAACAAAATTTTTTAGTGTTTTCAACATGGATTTTTGTGTTGATATCTGAACTCGCCATGAAATTTGTCACATTTTCTATCTGGACAGTTTTTCAGAAACTCTATGAACTTTAAGTTTTCGAACAAATTTTAGGTGGCTGTATCATTATTGAACGCAGTGTATAGTTTTCAAAAAAAGTTGCCCACGGACAACTGTACCCTCACTGTGCTAGTTTGGTAGTACCTACCGTAGAGCTCTTCACCGTTCCCCTATCAAATTGAGTGCGTTTCACTTATTTTCGCCTAGGTGGGCGGAAATGGTGTAGTGGCAAGTGGCGTGCTGACCAAGCCTACGCGCCAGGGATCGATCCCGTGTCATTCATTGTGTAAAAAAACTGCATTCAAAATACGACTACGATTCGGAATTGAAGTGTTATGGATGGTTCAGTAAGGGTTTCATGAATGCTGAGTACATTGTACCAAGCCATGACAGGGTAGTGAAGCGTGGTTGAGCGCCGAGAGGCAAATACATCATGGTTTGGGGAAATGGTTCGTTGAGGTTTTAGATGTGGGGGGGGGGGGGAGATGCCTCTAACTTGAAGTTATTTTTGATTATTTATGTTGTAATCCTAAAACTTGCACATAATATGTGTCCGTTACTATAGAATGAGGCAAAGAGAAATCTTGGAGTTGTGAAACTTTATTCGAATGATGTGTAAGGTGAAGTCTAAGCAGCGGCGTGAACGACACGGCGTTTTTTGTGCAGAGCACCTTGGTTGTGGTAAGAGCCTCCCTGACCACCTCGAGCCCCACCCGAGTAGCTAGCTCCGCCTCCCTCCAGTGGTTGATTTCGGCCAGCAGGAGGGTTGCCTCGCGGCAAGCTGCAGGTCTGCCCAGCGGAGTATAAGTAGACGCATTACTACACACGCCTCCGACAGCCAGACACGAAGCAGGGCATGGGACATAGCGGCATCGTTCCTGGACCTCCGTGACAGCTGCTCGGGGCGCCTGGTGCTCTGGATGCTCCGTCTTACCTGAGAGCGGGAGGTCCGGGCAGGTCCTGGTGCTCCTGCACCATTATGACCACCGTCTTGTCCTGGCATTCCAGGTGCTCCTGCCGGTCCAGGTGGTCCCGCTGGTCCTGGTTGACTAGGTTGATCTCGTTCCTGAAGCAAATATAGATGAAGGACTAGATCGCTCATTTCTGACGATTTTCATGTACTCACCTGGTGCTCCAGGGTTTCCATCTTGTCCAGGGCTGCCGGGTTGTCCATCAGATCCAGGTGCTCCTGGAGGACCGGGAGGTCCTGGCATTCCTGAACCACTCATTTTCATGTTGTGCTAGCCCCAATTTATGGCTCTGTAAATGGAAACTTATATTTTACCTCCTCCAAGGCTTTCTCCGTCTTGTCCGGGATTTCCTGCGGGTCCAGCTGGGCCGGGAGCTCCATCCGGTCCTGGTTCACCTGGTGGTCCGGCTGGACACGAGATACAACCTCCACCGTGACCTCCTTCTGCTGCAAGACCACCTGCTCCTGCTCTTCCAGGAAGACCTTGCAGACCATCATCTCCTGGCAGGCCAGGTTGGCCAGGAGGTCCTGTTAATGTTTTCATAGTAAAACAATAATTTCTACATTGATTTCAGTAAAGTATTATTTGTGCGCATACCTGGTGGTCCTCGTGGGCAACCCGATGCTTTAGCTGCGCATGCACAACCTCCACCACCACCTTGCGTAGCCTCCACTCCCGCGTGCTGCATACGCGCCACCACCACCTCCGCCAACGTAGCTGCCACCTCTTCGAATTCTGGCCGAGCTAAAGACTGAATCGCCTTCGTTCTGCTGAGCTCCCATCATTGTCTTTCCATGCGTCGTTGGCTATGTGCTGTAATGGTAACATGATCATCTCTGGGCATCTGTCTTCCAGTGAGGTGTTAACCCAGCACAGATCATCAGGTTCTATTTGCTAACCTTGAATTGATCGAGATCTTTTTCGATGTCCCTTTGGAATTCGTTGATGTCGCTAATGACGTCGAAGATGATTACGAACGTCACACCAATGGCGATGGCGGTACTGATGAATGCACCAGTGACGGCGTAGTGAAGCATAGTACCCATCTGAAGTGAAAAGTAGTAGACTTCTAGTAGACTAACTTAGCCATTTGATATGTAATGAAGCCATTTTTACGGCAAGCAGTGGTCCTAAGTAGGACCGGGTAATCGGGAAAGCCTTCCCGGACGGTAGGGTCCAAAGTGTTCCGAAGAGAGCTTAAAGGAGGAATTCACGATTAGAATGAAGGTCGAAGAAAGGGAAACTTACCTAGTTGAGGGACCCACGGACCTCCTGAGGGTGCGAACTGACGCGCAATTCGCATGGAAAAATTTG